TGTTGTTCTCGTTACTATTGTTGTTATTGCTATTGTTGTTATTTATAATTGTTGTTTATAATTTGTACAATTAACCTCCATGTGGTTCGACCCCGATCTTGCCGGGTTATTTATTACTTCGACACTTCTGCACTTGGGAGAAGACATCAATCTTTTAGTCGTGTCAAACGCCTTTCTAAATAAGACCATGATTTAGTAATTTTAACCGACTTGGCTTTTTATTTATCTCATCTTACCTGCTATCATGCTTTTCTAGAAAGACTTTTTTTGCACAAATTAAAACACTTTCATTCTTAGCTTTATACCTTTTTCACTATACTCTTTTTTCTATATATATCTTTACTTCATATTATTTATTTTATTGTTTATCCATTCACTCGAATCTATAAAAGAATATTGTAAAAATCTATATTCCAGTTGTATTAATGCTTAAAGCTTAATTCAAAAAGCTAAGTTAACATATGCGCAGCCGAAACATATCATCTGTCCATAAACAATACCTTTAACTGGTGTCTTAAAAATTCTTGACATATTTTTTTAAATATCATGATACCAAGAGATACAATGGTTAGATCACTTATGAAAACAAAAATCTAACTTTAGTTTCAATAATACCCCAATCTTGTAGGCTTACCTAACATCTCATTATAATGAGATAGAATTGAGAACAACAAATAATTTATCACAAATGATATTTTGAACATTCGGTATTAATTTATCACAAATGATATTTTAAGTTTTTAAGTTTTTAAATTTATCACAAATGATATTTTGAACATTCACAATTCTTTGTTTGCAGTTGGTATTAATGAAGCATATAATCATAGACATTTCATAATAACTTTTATAAACATATTAAAAAAGTCATATCTTTTTGTCACTTTTTATTTCCTCTGAACATTTCTATTACCGTAGATAAAGATGCAATTTATAAGAAATGTTGGTAATCAGATAAACCTATAATTTTAATCAATTAACATAAAGTGTGATGAATGGAACTAATAATACAAAGTTGGTGGATATGTATTCAAAAAAGAATTTAATTCTTTCCAACAAAATTGTTTGTAAAATGTTCACAACTTAAAAATAACAACAATAATAAATTGATAGACAACATTCATTATTCTTTTTTCTCTTATACTAAATTCTATAGCTAGTGTTGCAATTACACTACAAAATTGTTTTTCCATGTCCTTTTTATTAGTTAAATCAAAGTTTATAAAACTTAGTTAAAAAAAAACAATATTGAATTTGTTACATGAGTCATCATTATCATTATATATTGACGGTGGCAAAAACCAAGTTAATTAATCTGCTAAGGCTATTATAATATACTAATTTACTAATATGTTAATCTAGCAATTGATTAAAAGAAAATGATTTTAGCCATAAAATCCCAAGCAGTTAAATTGCACAGCATACTGAAACGAACACCAACTAGTAAAAACAATGGTGTATAAGATGAAAATAACATTTGAGATAACTCAATGATTAAAATGACCAATCTAAAAGGCTAAGGTTTCAAAGTTGTCGTTTCCATTTCAGCCAACATAGTTAAACAATAACAATTTAGGTTTGATATAATCTATAATAACAAATATTTTTAGTAATTAATTATTATTAACATGGATTAACTAGATGGATGAGTCAATACCAAAATTACAATATAATTCTTAACCATAAAAACAATGACTATAATGAAACATATTTTTCTTATTTAAATTATAACAAATAACATAACTATTTAACAACTCTTCACAATCGATATTATACACGAGCTTAATTATAAAAATCATATGTCTGCTAGCTTCTTCTCTATCATTTTAAACTTTACTTTCTTCTTCTTCTTCTTCTTTTTTTAATAAATTAGCAACACATTATCTCTACCTTCCCTTTCTTTTTTGTTTTTTGTTTTACTTTTTTTCTTCATTTAACCACTAATAATGCAACTTTCCTCTTTATTTCTAGAAAATCTCCATCAATAGAGTAACACATAATATTTTTTTTTATGAAGCAACTTTATAGACTGCTTTTCTATTAATTTTGTATGTCTTATGCACTAATATAGCAATATTTAACTTTCTTAAAAAGCAATGCAATGCAACTCTTTAATGTTATAATGGTACATTTAACTTTCTTAAAAAGCAATGCAACTCTTTAATGTTATAATGGTATCATTTTGTTTATAATTAATAATTACATCTTTTTCCTAATATTTTTTTAATAGATATAATATTTTGTGTGTTGTTTTATTTTGAAATATAATCAATGACACAATCAGTCTTCTCTAATCATCTCTAATTATGTATGTTTTTAGTTTTTTAATATCTTTATAATATTAATATTTTCACATAATTTATTCTATACAGTTTCTTAATTTTTAACTATTGATATAATTTTTTTCCCTCATGAGTTTATCTAGCATTAATTTATAATTATAATATCATTATATATATTTTTTCCATAAACTTTAAGTAGTGTGTAGACATGCTATCTTATTAGTTATAAGTAATGTTTATTTTTGTAGTAACAATATGTTTTTTTTAAATAATTTTTTTATTTTAAATTAAATTTTTTAATTTTGTTGATTCTTTTTAGTTTGGTGATATTAAACTAAATTTTAAAAATAAAAAAAATTATTTTATTATATTTTTAAATAAAAATATTTAAAAAAAATAATTAATACCTAAACCAAATACTACCCGTGATGTAAAAAACATATGATAGAAATAAGGAGTGGTTGTGACAGTGAGGGTGAGAATATATATATATATATATATATAACATAAACATACGGAATTCGGAATAAAAAATAAAAAAAGGAAAAACCTAACGGTCTCCGCGTTGAACTTCCCTTCAGTTCTTCTCTGTTAATTTAATTATGAGAAATGAAAAATAAAGTTTTCACTGGATTAAATAACCCATTTTTCACTTTAATTCTCTGCTTCAATTTCTTCTGATCCGATCGATTGCGGAAATGAAAAGGAGAAATGTTTAGATTGATGGAGATTCGGATTTGAATTTCAGATTTTAGTGCATTAATTTCTTGTTGGTGAGTGCGAAAATGAGCACGCAAAGGCAGGTGATCGTACGGGACTTAATGGATGAAGGCAAGAAGAGGATTGTTGTTTTGGTTATTTGTGTTGTTGGATTATCTTATCTCATGTCTTGTAAGTTTTCTTCTCTCTCGCTGTGTGTGTATTTTGATTTTGTGATTGTATGGATTCATTAATTAAATTAGGTAAAAATGTATCTGATAATCATTTTTACCTCTTAATCAGATTTTTCATTTGCGTTCCTGTTAATTATAAGAATTTCTTGATTTTTGCCCTTTGTATTAATGGGCATTACTTTGGCATTTTTTCAAGGTATAATAGATGACCAAAAAGTTAATGATATAGACAAGTTAACATTGGGAAATTGAATGAATGCTGGCCACTAGCATTGGCGTTTTCCTTTGGGATCAAGGTGTGTGCTTGAGGTGGCACCTTTACCCTTTTCTGGCATTATTTCTGGACGTAGTGATTGTACAAGTAATGGGGTCAGTGAAGGGAGGAACACAATCAGTGAGGAAAGGCTGTGAGACTGTAAAGAATTTTACACTCCCAAAAAATAATACGAGGTGTTTGAAATATTTTAGAAAGAAAAGACAGGCCATAATATTGATACCTTTTGTGTTAAATGACACATCCACATAATAACATGGAAGTGTATGTATGTGTTTTAATTTTCTATGTTCTCAATGTTTTGAAGAAGAACAATGCTCTAATTCGACTGATGTCTCTTTGTTGTTGTTTCACGTGATTATTTCTTTCTGAAATGCTTCAACATAAATGATGTGGTAGAGCGCCCTTTTGTTCTAATATATTAAGGAAATTGCTTTTCTTTTCTTTCCTAATGTCTTAAGGGAATTATGTCAAAAAAAGAAGATAATCTGATAAGAATGTGTTCTGATCATATTAACACAATCATTGTAACTGACTGCTAATAAACCTGCTGCAAATTCTAAATTCATGAACATGAGTGATCGGTAATGGACATCGTAGAGTGAAGAATTATACCAATATTATCCATAAGACGAGGTTCCAAAATGGTGTAGGTCAACAAAACATGTGCATTTTTAATTATTTAACAGCACGAACAGAGCAAAAATATAGATGCTGCAGTGAGACTTTGTTTCAATGTGAAAGAAAAGATGGCCACTGAGCTCTAGCTCAATTGACATCTTGTACTTCCCCCCTCCTTGTTCCTTACAACTTGAGTTTGAACCTTCATTTGGACCCGAAAAACATGATACTGCAAACCTGCTGGATGAAGAGATGCCCAAGGTGAATTATTCATACACACTGGAGGAAGTAGCATGACCAGACCAATTATGTTCTGTAAATTCTGTTATACTTTGGGTGTATACAGTTAATTTCCTACAAACAGGGAGGCTTAGGAAAATAATTTCTTTATTTTCTTCCACACAGAGAACATTTGCAGTACATGAATGGTTGCTGCTTTTAGGAGTTCAACTAAAATATTTAATTTGTATAGGTTGAGTACATGAAATTCTGGCTAGTTATTTCAGCCTGTTGTTTTTTAAGTTGTACATAAATGTATTCTCATTTTTTTTTTTTTTTATATATATGCAATGCTTTCTTTTTTGCTTGTCTTTAGTTGGAACTTACTCTCAGTTACCTTTTTCAGTAACGAGCTCCTCAGTTTGGGTCAACTTGCCTGCTGCTGCTTCCTTGATCATTCTCCTTCGCTACTTCACCATGGATTATGAAATGCGTAAGAAAGCTGCTGCATATAACAACAAACCTGCCTCTGCAAAATTAAGTACACTGCCACAAAACAAATCTCTTGAACTTAACAGGGTAGTTGAAAAGTCTGACTGGAGAAGGAAAGTGAATTCTCCTGTTGTTGAGGATGCAATAGATCACTTAACAAGGCATCTAGTCTCTGAGTGGGTGGCAGATCTATGGTACTCTCGCCTGACCCCTGATAAGGAAGGTCCAGAGGAACTGGTGCAGCTAATGAATGGTGTTCTTGGGGAATTTTCAAGTCGCATGAGAAATGTAAATCTTATTGATCTACTGACAAGGTTTTAGTTCTTTTCCTCCTGACTTTTCTCTTAGTTTACTTTGTCTCCAAGGTTATTTGCTTTGTCACTAATCATCTAGGGTGACACAGGGATCTTATTAATCTCATCTGCACCCATTTGGAGCTTTTTCGTGCAAGTCAAGCAAAGATTGACAAGCAACAGTCTGGTTTGCTTACCATTGATGAGCGAGACAAGGAACTAAGACTTGTTCTGGCTGCTGAGAACAAATTGCATCCTGCTTTATTTTCTGCTGAAGCTGAGCACAAGGTTGATTTGTTCATTTTTTGTTTGTTAAATTTGCAAAGTCATAGAATCTACAAATGCTGCCTCTGAATGTGAAGGATTGAAAGTTTAGTGACAATCTGGACTGCTTATTCTAGGTTTTGCAGCATCTGGTGGATGGCCTCATTTCTTTGACTTTCAAGTCAGCAGATCTGCAGTGCTCTTTCTTCCGTTATGTTGTCAGGGAACTTCTCGCTTGTGCGGTGATGCGACCAGTGTTAAACTTGGCTAGCCCAAGGTAGTCTATGTCTCTGTTTTGCTTTATAGTTTTGTGTTGTCATTTTTCCTTTCTCTCATTCCTTTTTTTTATTTTTTCTGGTTTCCTCCTTTTGTTTATCAGGTTCATAAATGAAAGGATTGAAAATGTTATCATTTCTAAGGCTAATCAAAGAGTTGCTGCAGCTCAAGAAGCATCTCATTCCAAATCAAATGGGTCTTCAAGGATCCCATCTGATCATTTTTCTAGGTTTTTAGACCCTACTGGAACTGGGGTTGAACTTACGCAGTTAAAAAACAATCAATCCAGAAGTGGGCCAGAGGCACCTGAAAAAGATAAGGTGAATGGAAGCCATATCTCAAAAGATCCATTGCTTTCCATCGATACCCCATCTTCCCGCACATGGAGCTCACTGTCCAAAAACTCTCTGATTAATGATGAAGGAGAAATTGAACGACATCTTTCAGGACGTGAATGGGGTGAGATGTTTGATATGATGTCTCGCAGAAAGACTGCTGCCCTTGCTCCAGAAAATTTTGAAAACATGTGGACAAAAGGGAGAAACTATAGAAAGAAAGAAGGTGAAAATCAGGCGATCAAGCACCCCCCACAGAATTCTTCAGCAAGTAAGTCCATTACATCAGATTATTCAAAGAGTACATCTAATTCCAAGAAGGATGATGTGACCAAACTCGATGCTTCGCTGGCCCGCAATGATCAGTCTGTGGGTACTGAGCAGTCTACTGTAGAAAACCCTCTGCATTATGTCAATCAGAACATGTCAAATCACTCACTATTTAGTTCACATCGAGATGGCATACAGAGCCTCATGGATGTGGATGGGACTGAATCAGGCAGCACTAGCTCTTATACTTCTGAAGAGGAAGATGTGAACTTTGTAACTGGTCTTGATTCTCCAGGAACTAAAGTCTGGGATGGTAAAACTAACAGAAACCTGGCTGTTTCCCACATTCATCATCCGCTTGAAAATCCTGATGGCCACAGGGCAAAGAAGACTGGTAGAGGGCATGCTCACTATCAAAGATTATCTAGACCCCAATCTGGCAGGAAAAGGTCGAGGCCAAGCACTCAGAAGGTACCTGTTTGGCAAGAGATTGAGAGAACAAGCTTCTTGTCTGGGGACGGGCAGGACATACTTAGTTTAAAAGGACATGCTAAAGCTGATGATTTCACTGATGATTCCGATGTTGAAACTCTGGATAGAGTTTACAGTGGATCAACTGCTTGTTCGTCTGCAACATTTGTTTTTATTCCTGAAAGCCACACTTTAAATGATAATTCCGTGAAACATTCATTAATGGTGGACGCATTTTATAAGTTGAGATGTGAGGTACTCCACTTAAAAGCTCATTACTTTTCTCTGCTCAATTGCTTGACCTTTCATCTTCTGATTTAATGATAAAGGATGTAAACCCTCTTGCTGTTGCAGGTATTGGGTGCAAATATTGTTAAGAGTGACTCTAAAACGTTTGCTGTTTATTCCTTATCTGTTACGGATGTAAATAACAATAGTTGGTCAATCAAACGAAGGTGCTATGGATTTCTGTCTCAAATTTTGTTTCATCTCTTGTTGATGTCTTCTGTAATAAGCATCTTCCATGAATAGATGTTGTCTTTTTATTGTGCTCTAACATGGTGAACACATGACCTTTATAATATTTTCTCCCATAAAGTTATACTGCTCATGTAACTGAACTCTACTGTCAACAGATTTCGACATTTTGAGGAGTTACATAGACGGCTCAAAGAATATCCAGAATATAGTCTTCATTTGCCGCCAAAACATTTTCTCTCTACAGGTTTAGATATGCCTGTCATAAAAGAGCGGTGTAAATTGCTTGACCGATATCTGAAGGTCGAACATCTAATCTCACTTTTTTTGTCCAAGTGAATTTGATATCAGCTTTAGCTCTTTGATAAGCTGGAATTGTGGCCTTCAATGGATTTCCAACCTGATTTCCTATTTAGATATTTATCCTGGTTTAATTTGCTGCCACTATTCCAGCACTTAAGATATTTGCACTGGTGCTTGGCTACTCAAGTACTTATGGACTCTTCAGTATTATGCTGTAAAGTAACACATAATATCTCACAAAGTTCTATGATTGGGAACTTCAATGGTGCTGGTACTAGATTAGCCATGTAAAAGCATTCTTGTGGTAGGCAAACTCATATATAATGTTTGTAAAATAAGAAATGCCACATTTACATGGCTAATCTAGCTCCACACCACTGAAATCAAAGCATAATATTTAAAAGTTTTTCATTAGAAATGAGTGTGCCAACTACGAGAAACAACTGAATTGTTTCTTTATTTAGAATATACATTTTTCTGAGCTAGTTTGCTACTTCTTTGGTGCCATGCTTCAACTCTTTAACTAACTATAACCTGTTGCTGTTTTCCAGAGGCTCTTGCAACTTCCGACAATTTCAGGATCTATTGAAGTCTGGGACTTTCTTAGCGTTGATTCTCAGGTTTCCATATTTTCTGCTATTATTAATGCAGAATCCCCTCCCTCCCCTTCTTTTTTTGGGAAGGGAAAGGTGTTCTTTCTGATATTTCACCCACACTATTCATTTGCTATTATATGGTGTCATGCAGACGTATGTGTTCTCAAATTCATTTTCTATCATCGAAACATTATCAGGTGAAGCTTGTTCAATTTAGGATGTTATCTTTTATTTTGATTTTCATTTCTTTATTTTGATATTTCCTCTCTTTTCATATTTTTTTTAAATTTCTAGTTGACCTGGATGATAAGCCCTCTGAAAAGAGTAAAAGGGTTTCAAATTTTATCGGGCCTGCAACAGATTCCTTATCCACTAGGAAGGAACAATTGAGTGCAGAGTGCAAGGAATCTATATTGCAGACAAAGCATGCTCTTGGGGTAGATGGAGCACGAATGATTTCAAAAGACACGCCTCAATCTCCAGTGAGAAAGTCTGTCAAAGAATTTGGAAAATCATTCAAGGATCCAGGCTGTGATTCAGATATGCAAAAGAATGCATCATCTGCCAGAAATTTAGAGAAGAATATAGAAGGAAGAGAGGGCGATAGTTTAGAAGAGATGTCCGCATCCCTTAATGATTCTGCTAATGACCCCATGCTCCCTACAGAGGTAATTAAAGTGGGTTAAGGATTGGGCTGGATTGCAGGTTTACCTTAATAACAAAAGGTTGTCTTATAAAATTTCATTGCTTCATTGCAGTGGGCACCACCAAATTTGACTGTTCCTATACTTGATTTGATAGATGTCATTTTCCAGCTACAAGATGGTGGATGGATCAGGTATTCAATATACGGCAATGTAGAAATATGGTGGATGTCTTGTCTCTTTATAGAAACTATTTTTTCATCATCATAGTGACATCCCACTGTGACTGCTGAGGATATGCTGCTGACACAAATGATTTGTGCATTGCAGGAGGCAGGCTTTTTGGGTGGCCAAACAGATACTACAACTAGGAATGGGTGATGCTTTAGATGATTGGCTGATAGAGAAAATCCAGCTTCTGCGTAGGGGTTCAGTTGTTGCATCAGGGATCAAGCGGGTTGAGCAGGTAATCTTTGAAGTTCTGCAGTTTCTTCTATCTTGAAAATTTGCTAAATCTTCAACAATACTTGGCAGTCTAGAGCACTACTGAAATGCTGGACTTTTTTTTGCTGAAGTGGTAAATAACAGAGCTGATAGATCAGATGCAGTCTAGAGCACTACTGAAATGCTGGACTTTGTTTTTTTTTTTTTTTTTTACTGAAATGATAAATAACAGAGCCGATAAATTGGATCATTGGATGGATTCTGGGTGGCTTGAGTTCATGTCCTCTTTTCATTTCTACCCAGCACCATTGAACTTCATCTTTGGGCATAAAAAAGAGGGTGAGATAGTGTGGCAAGATGGTCCATCTGAAGTGCTTTTCAGTAATGCTGAGTGAGGGAAGGAGGGGTTTTTGTCTTCATTTTTTGTTTCATGTTACTAGTCGGAAGAGAGGGAAAAACTTTTGGAGTCCCACTAGTGCCCTTTAAATAATTGAAGATCTCCTGTTTTCACTTGACATGTTCTGGTCTTTACCCCTGAGGTAGTAATGAAACCTAAGACTATCCTTGTAAAGCAGACTGAGTTGAAAGAATGGATTACCCATGGATACATGCTATTCCTTCCTTTAAATAATTGAAGATCTCCTGTTTTCACTTGACATGTTCTGGTCTTTACCCCTGAGGCAGTAATGAAACCTAAGACTATCCTTGTAAAGCAGACTGAATTGAAAGAAGGGATTACCCATGGATACATGCTATGCCTTCCTTTAAATAATTTAAGATCTCCTGTTTTCACTTGACATGTTCTGGTCTTTACCCCTGAGGTAGTAATGAAACCTAAGACTATCCTTGTAAAGCAGACTGAATTGAAAGAATGCTATGCCTTTCTTTTTTTTCCCTTTCCTTTTCTTTTTCTGCCTTCTCCCAGTTTTCCAGCAGCTGGAATGGGCTACTCTGATACGAGAATATGCTGGAGTGGATTGACTTGTTCTTTAGATTTGTACTTGATTGTGTAAGAGGCTTTAGAAAGAAAATTGAGATGCTCGTGTTTTATCCTGATATTAGCTGTGTTGTTATTAAATAGATACTTTGGCCTGATGGAATATTCATAACCAAACATCCAAAGAGACGACCGCCACCCCATCAACCCTCAGAAGTGTCTTCTCCTAAATTGATTTCCCCTCATGGCCAGCAACCCATGGAAGTATCTTCACCTAAATTTAGTAATGAGCAGCAACAACAGGATGCAGCTCGACGTGCTAAACTTGTATATGAGCTGATGATTGGTAATATCATTTTTCTTATTTGTTCTTTCTGTATTTTCTGCATCACAGATATTATTTTAAAATATCAGTAAATGCCTCAACGAACCCTGTTTTTGAAATGCAGACAACGCACCAGCTGCCATTGTAAGTCTTGTTGGTCGAAAGGAGTATGAACAATGTGCAAAAGATCTTTATTTCTTTCTTCAGGTATTTTTTTCTTTGGTGGGATTTAAATCGAAATCTTCTTATGTAAAGCATAAAAGTAGTAGCTGATTATAGATGCTTTTGTGCGACATGTATTTAACCTTCTCAAACGGAAAATATATTGAGAGGGTTGGGGGGGGGGGGCATCTTTCTATGTTGCTTGATATTGTTTGTCAGCACCATTTTGTATTTCTCCCATGGTTTGGGGTCCCTCATTCAGAAGGGACAGCAAGCCAAATAAATGATGGTTAGTGAGGAAGGCAAGGCATTAAGACAACTCAGTTTAGCGAAGGGTGAAAGCTTTTAGTGAATTAATGATCTGGGTTTTGTTGCTTGATGTTGTTGTGTCAACATCTGTTTTGTATGTCTCCCATGGTTTGACATGCCTCATTCAGAACACGTAACTAGCAGCCTTGCTCAATAAATGGTGGTTGAGGGAGACAAGGCAGTGAGACGACTTGGTTTAGTGAAGCAAAGAATGAAACCTTTTAGTGCTTTAATGATCTGTGTGAGTGGTAGCACCAGTGACTAGATCAGTACACACCAATCATTCCAGGTGTTAATTTGTGACCCTGAAAGAAGATAGCAGTTCTAGTGCATGCCTTGCCCATATTTAGAACTCCATATCTTGTTGAATATTTCCTGGCTCACCTATCATTTGTATACAAATGATGTTACTGAGCTTTGGTGGGTTTTTCCCCCCTTTGCAGTCATCTGTTTGTATGAAACAACTGGCGTTTGACCTCCTTGAGCTGCTGCTTTTGACTGCATTTCCAGAACTGGATTATGTTTTAAGGCAGCTGCATGAAGAAAAGCATAAATTTGGTGAATTTAAACCCAATTAATCAAGCATAGCAAGTTGATCTTTGCCTGATTTTTTCCCCTTCAGGTATGTTATTTTCAAATTTTTGCAACTGAAACATGTCCCACATTGTGATTGATGGTATCAAAAGATGGTCAAATTGATACATAGGTCTGATGTTTAGTTAGATTCTTGTTTTGGCAATTTTGAGGATATTGTACCTAAATCATGAAATTAGTGAAAAATCTATATATATTGATTTTTTCGTGTCTTCTCTTGATCTTGTTCCTCTTTTTATATAAATTCTCAATTTTTCCTTGCTTTTGATCCAATGAGTGCCGCCTCTACAATGACAGATTGTAATTCTGTTGAGGTGTTTGTGACTTTACTATGTTGAATTGGTCAGAAAGCCCTAGTTAGACTTCAACATTGAAGTATCATGGATAAGGTGAGAGATTGTTGCAGTATTTTTTCATTGGAGTGATTGAAGAAGAGTAGGGCAGGAGTTATTTGAATAAATGACCGTTAGGGTACTATTCTGCAATCCTAAACAAAGAGTTTAAAGTTATTATGTTGTGCTGCTGAACTAAACGCAGTGTTTGAGTTATAATGTTAGTAGTATAGGAGACATGTCCACTAGTGTAGGTAACACGTGCTGGAATCTTGGAATTGTTTTGGTTAATAGGTAACAAACTTGTAGAGAATGAATCCAAGAAATGAATAACCAAGTATGAGCATCTCTCTCTCTCTCTCTCCACTACTCTTGCTGAGTTACTTGCGATCTGCCATTGTGGGCATTGTTAGCAAGTGGTTCTCTTCCCCTGCAATACTTGGACGAAATCTAAGTAGGGACTATTCCCATCAAGCTTGTTCCATGTGGTATTAGAGCATCATCTCTTTGGACTTGAGAGATGGTACCTGACACTCGATCCCAATAGATTAAAAGGCTTGAAGATTCCCTTGAAAGCATAAAAATATGAGCAAGTGATGAAATTACTAGACTCATATAAGCAGAACTATAAGCAAGTGATGAAAGTACAAGGTCCAATCATGAAACCAAGCTTGAAGAACTAAAAGATCTTATCAGTGGTCTGTTTTGCCAGCAAACTTTCATTTTGCAGACTCTGCAGCGAACAGCAGGTGAAACCATGGTCACCAGGGATAAACGAGCTCATTAGGGACAAGATGCCGCATTCAAGACTTGTCTAAACGGTGAAGGTGGTCACCACTACTATAAGGTACACAAACCCAAATGTGATTTTTCTAATTTTGATGGTGAAGGTGTGTATAAATAGCTTTATAAACACAATCAATATTTTGAAGTAGAGAAAGTTAAGAACTCTAAGAAACTTAGATTGGCTTCTTACCATCTTGATGGTATAGCCCTTTATTGGCACCAAAATTTCATGAGGAGGTATCTTGGGAAGAACATGTTGAAGCTTTATGTGCAAGATTTGATGGGCAAAAAGATCCATTAGAGGAACTTATGGATCTCAGGCAAGTTAAATTTCTGGAGGCATATATGCATGATTTGACATGCTATAGAAAAAGGTTGATATTTCTGAAAAACAAGCTTTTATGTTCTTTATTGGGGGTTTGGAGATTGAAATTAAGAATCTAGTTAAGATGTTTGAACCGAAAGCCTTGAAACTAGCGTACAACTTAGCTCGATTATAAGAAAACACTATCTTACAAACATAACCATCACAACCTTCCTAAATATCCCTCCTAAGGCATAACCTAAACCAAACTTAGTCACCAACAAACTCACCATAGAAACTCACCTCCAGAAAATACCAGCAACCTAAAACTACCTTAAAATAGCTTACTACCCACTCTAACCCAAAACTATAATTGCAGAGTTCCTTTTGAACCTACTAGACCTTTGAAGAATGGGGAAATAGAGGAAAGAATAACAAAGGGTTTGTGTTTTTTGGTGTGATGAGAAGTTTGTTTCTGGACATAGGTTTAAAAATGAAAGGCTCAATTCTCTTTCCATTATAAGTGATGAAGAGGAAGTAGTAGAAGGGGAGATGGAAGAAGACAATTTTGAACCTGAAGAAGTTACTCAATTCCAATCAATGCTTTAGAGAGTACTGTGAATTTTCATACCCAGTAACTAGCAAGGTTGAGAAAGAATCAATCTTTATCATGGTTGACTTTGCAAGAACACAACTTTCTCAATTTTGAAGCTGCCAGTAGATTACAATATAACCTTACTACCATAAAACCCTTGACAGTGTAAGAAAATTGAGGAACAATGTGTTGCACAGGTCTATGTTGCACAGGTTTTCATTGTGGACCTAAATAACTGTGACATGATGTTGGGAATTCAATGGCTGGTCATGCTAGGTGACATTGTTTCAACTATAAAGAATTGTGGATGTCATTCAATTGGCTAGGAAAAAAGATGTTGCCCTAGGGCAACGATCCAGCTCACTTACAATCTATTAGATTTGAGCAACTCAACAGTCTGCTAGGGTGTCCTTCACAGTGGGCAGAAGTTAGCTTATACAGTTTGAGAATCATTAAAAGAGTTGGTATCACAGTTTGTTCTATGTCTACCACTTTAAATCCTGTTGTGGAAGGAAATGCTGCTTTGGAACATCTTTTAGAGTACTACTAAGAGGTGTTTAATGAATCAAAGGGTTTACCGCTCCTCGGATCTCATGATCATGCTATACTTCTCAAGGATGGAGCCCAATGTATCACTTAAGGCTTTACAGGGTATTCTGGCTTACAGGAGGATGTTGTAGAACGAATGGTCACCAAAATGGAGTCATGGGTAGTTCAACCTAATAATAACCCTTTTGCTTCCCATGTGGTTTTGGTCATGAAGAAGGATGGGTCATGAAGATTCTGTTGAATATAGGACTCTTAATAAACTCTTTATCAAAGACAAATTCCCCATACCTCTAGTGGACGAGTTATTGGAGGAGTTAGTGAGGGAAACTATATTTTCAAAGATAGATTTAAGATCTGGGTATCATCAGATCAGAATGGCTTCATAAGATGTATTTAAGAATGCTTTTAGGACTCACAATGACAATTATGAGTTCTTAGTTATGCCTTCTAGGCTCACCAGTGCTCCTGCCACATTTCAGAGCTTGGTGAACGAAAGCATCTTAGAAAGTTTATATTGGTGTTTTCTTTTAGTGGTATTCTAATATACATCAATTTTATGTCAGACCACCTAAAGCATTTGAAGATAGTGTTTGAATTGTTAAGTGTCTATAAGCCGGTAGCCAAGAGAAGTGTGCTTTTGGTAGTACTCAAGTGGAGTATTTCGGCCCACATCATTTCCAAGGAAGGAGTATCCACTAATCCACAAAAGATCAGGGCTGTAGTGGATTGGCCTCTTCCTAGGACTGCTAAATAGTTGAGAGGATTCTTAGGCCTCACTAGGTACTACATGAGATTTGTTAAAGACTATGGAACCATCAGTAAACCTTTGACTCAATTGTTGAAGAAGGATGTCTTCGAATGGAATGATAAAGCTGCAAAAATCTTCGAACTTTTAAAGGAAGTTATGACACAACCTCCTGTTTTGGCACTACCAGACCCAAACAAACAATTTGCATTAGGACATGGCATAAAAGCAATGTTAATGCAAGATGGTCATCCTGTAACTTATATCAGTAAGTCTTTAGGCCTTGGACAACAAGCTCTATCGATCTATAAAAAGGGAAATGTTAGCTATACTTCATGTAGTAGCTAAATAGAGGCGTTATCTATGGAGCAAACATTTCAAAATCCGCACTGATCATTCTTAAGTATCTTCTAGAACAAAAGGTATCTTACCCTTCTTAGCATCTATAGCCAAGTTACAAGGTTTTGATGATGAAATTGAGTACAAGGAGGGAATGGTGAAAGTAGCAGTTGATGCCCTATCAAGGATTTCTAATGGTGAATTGTTCACTATGTTGGTGTCTACTGTTTCCACCAACATTATGGAAGAAATTAAGAGATCTTGGGAGCAAGACAAGGATATACAGGGTATCATAGTAGACCTACAGCTGGATCTTGGATCTCACCCTCAGTATAAGTGGGCGAACAATCATCTGAAGAGGAAGGGAAAGATAGTGGTTGACAATGACCCTATACTTCAACATAAATTATTTACAACTAAGGTGGACATTTTAGAGCTACAATGACTATTAAGAGGGTAGGAAGTCTTTTTTATTGGAGGAAGTTACAGAAACAGGTGAGGCAATATGAGAGATAATGCACTACCGGTCGAAGGAATAAAACAGAAAATGTACTCCTTCCAGGGTTGCTACAACCATTGCCCATTCTTCAGGCACCATTTACAGACATCAGCATGAACTTTGTAGAGGGACTACCTAGATCTAATGGCAAGAAGTTATTTTTGTGGTGGTGGATCAATTTAGTAAGTGCATATTTTATGGCTCTAACCTATCCATATTCTACAACTACAGTGGCTACTCCTTTCATGGATCATGTTTACAAATTACATGGTTTACTTACAACTTATAGTCAACGATAGAGATACTATTTTTTCAAGTCAGTTTTGGAGAGGCGCTTTTGCCTATCAAGGAGTAGAGAGTTGCACTATTCTATTGCCTGTCACCCACAAATGGATGGACAAATGGAAACAGTTAACAAATGCCTAGAGAACTACTTGAGATGCATGACTGGTAGCACTCCACATCAATGGTCAAGGTGGCTTTCACTAGCAAAATGGTGGTACAATATCAATTATCATTCTTCCATATGATCAAGCATCACCACTTCATATTCCTTACTGCCCTAAAGAACCAAACATTTGGATGAACTGTTAACAAAAAGGGAGAATATGCTACAATTACTCGAGAAAAACCTCAGATCAGCGCAAAACAGAATAACACAGGTGGCTAACAAGAAGATAAGTAAAAGGTCATTTAATATGGGTGACTGGGTGTACCAAAAGTTGGAACTACATTGACAGAAGTCCATGGCGCAGAGGATTTCACACTAGTTATCAGCTAAATACTATGGTCCATACAAGATCATATAACGAATTAGAGCAGTCGATTGTAAATTACAATTGCCTTCCACTGGTCAATCCACCTGGTTTTTCATGTTTCATAGTTAAAGAAACTTTCAGGAAACAAGAAGAAAGTGTTTGATAACTTACCTGTCATGAATGGTGGAGACTCCCCTCAACCATTAACAGTGGTGAAACGTCGCAACTAAGTTGCCATCCAGATCCTGGTTCTTTGGAAAGGATTATCACCATCAGATGCAACCTAGGAGCTTGTGGAGGATTTCTTAGTAAGGTGTCTAGAGTTATCCCCTAGAGGACAAAATAATAATGGGAGGGGAATTGTTGTAGGATTCTTTCAACAGGGTAATTGAAGATGAGTAGAGCAAGAGATTTGGATAAATGATCGTTAGGGTACTATGCTGCAGTCCTAAACGCAACATTTAAAGACAAATGTTTGAGTTATTATGTTAGTAGTATAGGACACATGTCAATCGATATCCACAAGTAGAGTTTGTATTGTTAATTTTCAAAGATTAAATTTAATTAAAACTAAAATTTGAACTCAGTAAATTAATTCAGTTCAAAACGTTTTGACTTGGTGTGGTGGAAAGTAAGGTTTCTTTAGAATTGTTTAAACAATTAATAGACTGTATAAACCTGACTTGAAATATCTTCACCCCCCCC